GCGTTGAAGGTTCTCAATGAATACCTGAAGTATAACGCTAAGCTCAATGAAACAAAGGCTACACTGGACTTCATTAACAATTGCTTCGAGTCAAATCACTATCCTAAAGTTTATTACAAGTCTCTACGTCGAAGCAGAATTCATCTCAATAGGAAGACGCTGAAACGATATGCATTAAACCAAACAGACTCTTTATCTACACACATACATACAAGAGAATGAAATGAATATCGCTCACAGGCAGTATGCGGTAGATGAACTGCCAGAAGATTTTAGAACGCCTTTTATGGAAAACGTTTCTCAAGTTATTGAACTAAGAGCACAGAAGAAGAGGTGGGAGCTTATGAAAGGACTTCAAAAGGAAGCCAGAGGCTGGTAAATTTCCAACAGATTCTAAAACGTACGTCTACAATTATAGTGGTGTTGAATTAACTAAGGTGCAACTTGTAGTTCTTTCCCTTGGCCTTCGATTTTGTGATAGAACGAAACGAGTTAACCACTTAGATATTGATATTGAATTCGAAAACCTATTTAGTCAAACAAGGGATCTAGTTCCATCATCCACCTTGGAAGTAGAACGCTTCAACTCCAGTCTAGTGGATTGTTGTTATCAGTACAAAAACCTCAAATGTGACAGTAAACGTTTCTTGACAAAGGAGCACAAAGAAGAACTAAAAAAAGCTGATAAATGATGAGAGACTGATCATCAAAAAGCCGGATAAAGGATCAGGAGTAGTCCTCCTTGATAGAAATGGTGGATATATTAAAAAGATGAATGACATATTGAAGGACACACAGAAGTTTCAAAAACTTGAGGAGAAGAAAGATTTCAACAACAAAATAGAGAATAAACTAACCAGACGTTTGAAGAAACTAAGGGAGGAGCAGATATTTTCTGAAAGTTTATATGAAGAAATCAGACCAACGGGCACGTATACGCCAAGATTGTATGGCCTACCTAAAGTGCATACATAAACCAGGGGTACCGTTAGGACCAATACTTGATATGCAAAATTCACCCCACCATACTATAGCTAGATGGTTAGTAAATATTTTCAAACCTTTGCATGGGAAGATAGTGAAATAAAGCTTCAAAGATGTGTTTGAATTCGTAGACAAAATCAAAGATATTAATATCAAGGACAAAACCATGATTCTAATTTTGAAGGGCAATGTACTACGTAAAGCTATTTTTTTAAAAAGCGCGCTTACAGATCAATGCGCCTTCTTTAAACGAAAAATCATGTGATTCAGATATTGTTTATGGTAGACAATAATAACAGCAGCAGCAACAACAACTGGTCTTTGTGAAGTGTACAGCTGAACAGGTGGAGAAGATAAGCATATGAGTTATCTTTATTTTTTCTTTGCTCGTTCTTCCTCTGTTTCTTCATCTCGGTTTTGCGAAATCCATTTGCAATCACAAATATCACTCAGAGAGCGCTTTTTCTAAATATATTTTCTAATTAGTTGGTATATTCCATTATGGATAAGATTTTATTTTGATAAACTGTCACACACACAGTAATATTAACTGATGACCACATTTCCAGTACAAATTATTGCCATTTTATAATCATATCAAGTTGATATGATTCCAGGTCTTCCTTCGATTGGTTCTTTAACTGATGATGAAAACAAATAAGTTGGCAGAAGAAGCAGCCAACTGACCTAGGCAATGTGCTGTGGTGATGAAGATAACCCCAACCGGTCACTACCAATGGAACAAATTTGACAGGAGTGACTACTTTCTAGGGCAGTATCGTTTCAGCTGCAGACGAATGCACGAATAATCCTGGAGAAATGAGAATCGCAAAAGGCAAGACAGACATTCGTTGTCAGTGCATAGAGAGAAGAGGATTCGGATCCTCAGCGCCAATGTTCAGTCAGATTATGCATCAGACAGTGGGAGACGAGAAGATAGCGAGGGCTATCCTCGACCGATGTGAAGAACCTAGAAGACCTGAATTTCACGCGTGTGGATGATTTGTGTTTGATGCCAAACAAAATTGAAGACTTAGAAGCAGGCGAAAACCGACAAACTGGTCGAAGAAGCAGCTAACGAAGACAGGACTCCAGGTGAACATAGGTGAACAAGACGGAGGTTATGAAAATAACCAACCAACCAAAAACAGCAACAACAGAAACATCCAGCGCCAATCACCATCAACGGGAGCGATTCGAAACAGGTTACACTTCATTCACTTACTTATCTAAGGAGGGAGCATTGTCTCAACTACACGAAGTCGGAACGGACGAGCGACAAATGTCAAATCGAGCGAGAATTGGGTGTCGGGGGGGGGGCGAGAAACACATTCACTCATCAACCTGAAACAACCAATCTGGAAACTAATCTTCGTCACTCAGCCAGCATCAACAACAAAATTCCGTCGGTCAGATTTTCAATACAAACACGTCAAGTCAGTTAGTCTTTCTATACCGATGAGAAACTTGGCGTGTTGGTGGTGGTGGGGGGTCACAAAGAATATTTCCACCAACAGTCTGTTTCAGACCTTACCTTTATCAACAACCAACTGAAGATGAGATGGCCGGGCCTGGCCGGAAACAATCACCAACAAGTAACTATGGTAACTAACTATATTGTAAACAAGAACCAATCGCCCACCAACAGCAAATATGCAGGAGAAAGTGGAGATGGATGGATGGATGGATTGGACAGTCGCTCGCTGAGGAAGCCGCCGCTGGGTGACATGGTGCTCGCGTCAGGCCATTTCTCGAGTGGAACCCGACAGAATGGAAAGTACGCGGCGAGTTGGTCGTTAGTGCAAGGGTGATATGGAGGAGATCGTGTTAGTTGGAGGAGTTGAAACAGTATGGACTACTTCAGTATGGCTGCAGGTGAAAAGTACAGCAGAGGACAGAAGTGGCAAGTGGAGACGTGCAGTTGAAGTCGTATGTTACACTAGGAACTCAAGGGATAAATAGTGATAATAATAACTTTTCGGCGGAAACGTAAGTTTATTGTGGTGGAAATTTTGAATAGAGAATAAAATGAATTTATACTGGAATATGAAATAAACTTTTTCTGTCTCTCTCTCTCTTTCACTGTCACTAACGGTAAGTTAGTACTTGTATGATAATTGTAGATGAATTAAGTATATGCTGAAAACTTATCACAATTGGATTGACATCTCAGATTGGGAATAAATTACCGGAAATGAGAATATACAATTTGAGGAAGTCAATTAAAATGTATACAGCTCAACTGAAAGTATGTTCATTTCTAGGCTGGATGTGGAGGGGGGCGTGGAGGCTGGGTGTGGGTGAGTGGTTGAGTGGGATGAATGTAGTGAATTGTTCATTTTAAGCTACTAGGGACTTATAAATCTGCTTTTCTTTATCAGTCACAACTTTTTAAAACGTTGTTAAATGATGCGTGCATGCATGCATGCATGCATACTGCTTACTTGAACGTGTTTAATATTTTCGATAGATTCTGCATTAATTGATTTATTGGAAGTGTATCACACTAACTTATGAACTAAAACATAGATGGATTAGATAATTTAAAAATTAGATAATGAAGAGAAAATGGTTAGTTTTGACATTGTCAGTTTATATACACGTATACCGATAATAAATATGGCTATAGAGGCGGTCAGAAACGAACTCATTTCTTACCAAGAACTCAGAATTTGGACAAAAGTGACACTTGAGGTCATAATTCTGGGAGTGCAGTTATGCCTGACTTCTACAGTATTTAAATTCCTCCAAGGGGAAATGCACAAACAAAGTGAGGTAGTTTCCATGGAATCACCAATATCGCCGGTTGTAGCAGATTTATTCATGGATAGGTGAGAAAACATAGCGATTGAAACGTTCAGCCTCACCTAACCCAAAAGTATGGTGGAGGTCGTATGTAGATGACACATTCAATGTACTTAGAACACAAGATATAGATAGATTTTTGAACACATTAACTCAGAGGTGGAGGCAATTCAATTCACTTATGAATCGGAAAGTCAGGAAACGGGGGAGCTTCCAATGTAAGATTGTAGCGTAAAAAGGAAAGAAGATGGGAAGTTAAAAACACAATAGTGTGTTTACGGAAAGCTAACACGCATTCAAACAGATATATGGACTTCCGATCATCCCATTATATGTCAGTGAAAATAGGATTGATGAAATATTTAAGTGACAATAGAGCACAAAAACTAAATGGTACCAGGGAAAATCTAAGACAGGATGTGAAGCATATGAGGGAAGCTTTGAAACTTAATAACTACCTTGATAAATTAGTCAGAAAGTATGTAGGGAAATGTGAAACTAAAAATAAAATAATGATAGCAGCGATAGTGATAATAATAATAATGATAATAACAATAGTAATATTAATCACGAAATGCATGTCAATAAGGAATCTAAATCATCAGTAGTAATTCCATACGAGGAAGGAAGCTCGGAAACCACCTTACTCAGAATTCTTAACAAGGCAGGCAGGAATAAAAGTAATTGGCGTTCAAACCAACCACAAACTCAGTTGGAAACAAGCTTTGTCGGTTAAGGGATCAACCCTATGGAGCCTTTAAAACAAAACAATTTGGTTTATCTAATTCCCTGCCTGCAATGATTGTCAGGTCAAATACATAGGTCAAACTAATAGAACAGGGTCAGTGATTTGGAGTAGTCGAGCATAAAACCTAGCAGCGAAATCTAGATTGGTTGACCCGATCGAATAAGATAAGAAATCTAGAGAATAGTTCAGTTATAGCGCTGCGTGCAATGGTCTACGAGCTCACTCGCCTTATAACCAGAAGCTCCTGGGTACGGACACTGGAAGTGGGTGCGTGGTGTTGAAGAGTCGCAAACTAGGCTGACGAAACAGCTGGTTGTCTAGTACCCCCTTCTGGTTTTCCAATGGCTCTCTAACCGATGTCAGTGCTCATGATGATATCCTGTAACTAATCAATCAAATCCTTAAAAGCCAATACTTGAATAATAATAATAATAAAAGCGATAACAACCACTTTTTTACTCACCTATCCAGTATCAACTTTTTCAACAGAATCAAATCACATGCCACACATTCTATCCCACTGTCAGTGATCTTTGAACACCAGGATAAATTCAATGAGGTTAGTCGTTTCAAATTTTCACAAATCACATCTAAACCATCATCGGTTAGCTTACTGCATCCACTTAAATTCAACACTTGTAAATTGTCCAGTGTGTAAGCCAGAGTCATAACCCCCTGATTTGTTATATCCATACACTGAACCAACTCCATAATTTGCATGCTTACGCGTTGTTTTGTACTGAAGTAGGTCAGTGCTGCATCAGTGATATGATAGGCTTGAAATCGAAAGCATTTCAACTCAGGCAATAGCTGTCCAATAGCATTCATACTTTCATCTGACACATTGATACAATCGAATACAGTCAAGTTTTCAATGCTTGGCGTCAGGCAAGACCAAAAAGCCAGCTCTGTAAAGTCATTGCAACATTCGAATTCCAGGGTTTTTAGTGAAGGGAATAAACTGACTAAACGTGATAATGACTGGTCAAATATAGAACAGGATTTCAACATTAAATGAGTAAATCTATGCGTGTATGAAAAGGATTCAGTATTACAATTTTCTGAGTTCGATTGATGTGAATTGATCGAGATTTTTGAATCAGTCATTTTCTTGTATAAACCTGGTGGATTGATTGAGAACGTTGTAAGCGAATTATTAACAAACACTGCTGAGTCATTCTGATTAGAATAATTCGATATTGACAAACTGTTCCCTTGGACGAAACCATTCTGTTGATGCCTAACATTATTATGATTGTCAAATGAATTAAGAAATGAAGTGATACAATCAGTTCGTGTTGGCTTTCCCACAGAATTGTTATTTTCATCGGTAACACGAGTAGTCCATGGTGAACAGTTAGCGTTGTCTTCTACGAATTTTTTATCACCATCACCTGTTGATGTTTTCATTAGAAGTGTTATGTTTGATTGAGATAAATACAACGGAACAATTGGTGAGGATGAGTTCGATGAAACCGCTATAGCATAGTTTCGATTGAATAAAACCTCTAATATATTACACAGGGTAGAACTAAGTCTTTCAACTAACTGTACAATTTTAATACACTCTAGTCGTCTGTTTACAGCAGACATAAGACGAACTGCAATCAGCTGTTCTAAATACTTCTGGACAACTTCTTCTGCTATAGAAGAAGTACAATCATTAGATGTTGAATACATCGAGGTTTCTGTAGAGTTTCTACATACATTTAGCTTTGGATCAGTATGCTTACTGCTTTCAATTTCATCAAGCAACTTTTTCATATTTAAAACAAAGGACAGTTTATTCTGGAAACCATTGAAACACATAAATTCATACCATATACGACAGACAGTTGAACATTGAATCAGCTCACTACCTGATAAATAATAAAATATATTATTCATAAAGTTTTTATTCAACCACAATGATTCTATTGTATGCGGACAACCTCTTTTCTGACGTCGGATATAATCACGAAAACGTGTACTTGTGGATTTCTTCACTGGAATGTTTAAATTAATCCGTAAGCCTTGATTTAATAATCTCTGTTTTATAGCTGCCACAGTTGTTCCCCGGTGAGAGGCGATCGGTGAAGATGACGTCGAGTTATGCGAGTATCGATTGTTGTAAAAACAGTAGGTTGAATCACTACCACTGTTGTTATTATTATTAGTGTTGTGATTTGTGATAGTGTTATTTTGACAGTTACGCGCTAGAATAGCTAAACGATGTGTCATAGTGGGTGAAAGTGTAGCCTTGAATGTGAACGGTGAATCCAGTGAATTGTTGATGTTATTGCTAGGGATTTTATTCGATATAACACTGTTATCCTCATTTGTATCTGATGACTGCCTATTTCTCAGCTTAAAATTATGCCTGGGTATCGGGCTATTCGGTGACGAATTCGATATTCTTGTATTCAACGATGTTAGATTATCCGAAGTGTTTAGAACCATAGCTTTCAATGGATCGTTATTTACAGTTCCGTTACTTAGAATATTTTTGTTCTGTATAGATGATTTTGTAGTACAATGATAAGTTGTTACACTGTCTTGTGGAATGATTTGTATATGTTTTTTACTCTCTATAGGTTTATTCGATACTGTGGAGTCATCTTTTTCATATGTGATCTTTATATCACGATTTGTACTAGTCGTGTTAGCAAGTTTATTCTGTAGGCAATTCTTGTTACCACTAGTAATGTTATTGGTAATAAGGGAGATTTTATTGTAAATAGTAGTCGACTTGTCGTTCACATTATGCATTGATTTACATTTCACTGGTTCAGCGTTCTTCTGTGTCTTTTTAAACCGATGCACCTTTTCTTCACCTGATGAATTTACATGTTGATTGTTGTTGTAGTGCTGGTAGCCAGAGTGGAGTTTAGAATCGTGAATGATACTCTTATTAGTCACAGAGATGATAAGCTCTTCTGATTCGGAATCATGACTGATAGATATAGGGCATTTAACTGTGTCGGGTTCAAAAGCCAACACAGCTGCCGACGTTGGCGAATCACTGGCACTCGGAGTAGACGAAGGTGTGACAGTAGTGTTTAACTTGCTGAAGCGCAAATTTTTTAAATTGTTGGAGAAATCTATACATGCTTTGGCGAATGATGTCATGTTTTGAAGAGCATACTAGAAATACCTAAAAAGGAAAAAGTTTCAAAAAAAAGTAGAAAACAAAAATGAATTAGTAATTTTGGAAATCTGAGGATAAAAATTCACTTTTTTTTATAGACCTACTTATTGCATTCTGTAGCAAGTCACTAGCGAGTTTCCTGGAGTTCTAGGGCGAAATCGTGACCAGTGAGGTCCATCTAGTCAAGTGTGTGAGGATGGATTTCCCACCGATGAAATTTTTTGGTGGTCTCACTAAAGTCACGAATTGCTAGGCGTTAGAATTTATAATCATTGAATTGGGTCACAATGAGTGGCTGAATGGTATAGGATCTTGCCTAATGACTTGAAGGTCATGGGTTCGAACCCCCCTGTGGCGGGTGCGCTATGCAGATGATTCCATAAACTAGGACAACACAGTTACGTAGTGCTCCGATTGGTTTTCATTGTTTCTCTAAATGATATTAATCCATGGTCAAACTCGTAAACACCTATCTAATCTTTATAAACCAACTTTTGAAAATTAATCTTCAAAGTACAAATTTTCAAGTAATGTACTTATCAAATATCCTGAGTTTGCCTGAACAGTAAAAGCTATGAACTATATTATCATACGTCCCTTAGGTTCCAAGCGAAACATGAGACTTCAGCAGAATATCGCCATTTCATCCTGCTCTCTTCAGTCCTATTTAGCTGGCTCCATGAATACCGATAAGTGGGAACATCATCACTCACTGGGAAATGCAGGTACATCCGGATGACGAGTCCCAAATAGGACGAAATGCGCGTTATCCTGGACTGCATTCCACTACTAGTCACCATCCACAAATTAAATTCCAATTACATACCCAGACATCGTCGAAGCATCTGCACAAGAAGTCGACATGTCAACCTGAGACCGAGCACTTCGGTCCAATCAGTCAGTCGGCGGGAAAATCTCAAATTCAATAAAATTAATATCACCCGTTGCACAAGAGGTGGTTCTCGTGGCTCAGGTGGTCTATTGGATAACGCTTTGGCTGGTGTTTAAATACCACGGGCACTGGGTTCGAGCCTCGGTGGGAACATTACCACTGAATCACTTGGGAATGCAGGTACATCCGGCACGTTATCCTGGATTCCCCTGCTAGTAACCATCCACAAATTGAATTCATTACATTATTACCCAATTCGTTAGTCACTCATCATCTTATGTATCTCTCGTCTTTATTACGTAACTCATTTACCATTGTATGCATACATTTACTTTGTTTAGACTTGGGCTTCCTGTGTAAAGAATATATAAGTGTTATTTTCTGAGCACTATCCACTAAATTCGGAACCTCGTGTTAACTGACGTCATGTAAAATTTGCAAGTATATTATAAATTGTCTCTGTATATAAACTTGATAATGATAATAACTTATTTCGGCTGTAAGCAGTAGCTGATGAGAAGCCAAGGAAATAAGCAATGATGACACCATTTTTATTTTCTGCACAAACCACACTGTTATTCTTGCTTTATGCACGTACGTCTAAGTACAAAAATTCCACTATACCATATTTGGCGGCACGTGCTTTATGTGATGAAAACAGTGTTAGGCATGGACTAATTGACTAACCTTCTTTGCACTAGTAAATGAACCATTTTCTCCACACTTACAACATCAACCTTTATTGTTGTTCTTCTTCTTGTAATTATAATTCTCTCAATTTTTTGTTTTTATTTGTTTATTTTCTCATAAGTGTCTGTCTGTCTATCTGTTTTCTACATAGGACTTTGCACAAATGTGCACCAGTTCAAGTCGCCACACCCCCTCCATGTAGCACACAAAGCAACAGAAGAAAGTAGAAGAAATGCATATAAGGGACAGTAAACAGAGGTGTGAGACAAAGGAAGAGTAATAACGAAGAACAATATAGTTTCATTGGAAATCATAAGTCACAAGGAGTGGATGCATCTGCGCCAGTCATCATCGAGAACGATTTTGAGCCATGTCACCAATTGTTCTCACCCATCAGATTTTATCATCCCGAGGACCCCAACCAGTCAGGAAGTCTACACCTTCCTACGTGGCTTAGACTAACTGTTTTGGATTTCATTGACTGGCGGCATTTTTTGGTTTGATCGCCATTAGCTCTTTTCCAGTCTGACCAGTCTTATGTCAGCTAACATTTCCCATTTTCGAGGAAGGCGATGACTAGGCATTCATTCGTAACACGTATCGTAACCATCTCAGTCGATGTATCTTCACAGCCTCGTCGATTTATTTCTCCTCCCATCTACCTAGTACTCGACTGATGCCTCACCTCAATATTGCTCACCCTATTATACCACTTCGCACTGGAGATAGAACGCAGGCACCTATGATCGAAGACAGCTAATCTTTTCATGTCTTCCACTCTCAATGGCCAGGTCTCACAGCCAGCCATTAAAGGAGGACGGAGGGGACTGATGAGCAGTACACTCGCCCTTTCGTCGATAGCCAGCCGAATATCACGTCTACTAAGCCACACACGGCGTAAACTGGCATATGCGAAACTATCCTTTTGTATCCGTACTCAGCTGAGATTTCGTCAGAGATGGTACTTTTCAAATAGGTGAAGCGGTCAACGTGCTCTACCACTTCACTTCCTATTTCTAAACTAGGAGGTGGAGTAGTCCAGTCAGTCCTGTAACATCATTTTGCATTTGGCGGGAGCGAACCCCATGTCAAACATTCGTAGATTGCAGCTCAAGGTCTTCAGAAGACCTTGTCTGCATTTCGTCAGCGTCCTCACCAAAAGAGACTATATCATCTGCATATTCTAAGTCAACGAGACTATTCCCTGCTATGCTAGTAGTAATGTGGTGAGAGCTGGATGCTAGCCAAAAGTGGTAGACAGTAATTTACGTCAATGATTTGCTTCCTTTACATTCCCAGTGGAACATAGGGCGCCTTCAAGCTAGTGGCTTGAAGTTTCTGTAGAAGTGTTCAATTTTTACAGGATGGGGTTGCTAGCCTCATGCCCAACCTTCCCTCTTTACCAGTCTTGTTACTGGCTTAGCGAGGTAAAGAAGTGCGTTGGTGGCCGGTGATCGAACCCCGGACCATGTGGATGGTCGGCGAACATCCTAACCGCTATGCCGCCAACGCACAAGCTAAGTGCAATGGAAAAGAATAACTATACCCCGTAAAAAGTTTTCTGTTCTCCTTTAGAAATGTATCCTATCTAAGAAACAAACAGTAAACGCAATATATGTGTGTAAAACCTGGGCACTATGGTGGTAGTAAGTAATTCCATATTAGTTTGTTTATTAAATGTATCACACAGTCAGTGAAACAGTATTATTTACTGGATGACATTTCGAACAAACAGGAAGTGGTACATATAAGAGAAGCCTTGAAACTTAATAATTACCCTGATAAAGTATGTAGGGAAACATGTGGGGAAATGTAAAAATAAAGTAAACAATGATAGTAGTGATAGTGATAATAATAATAATAATATTAATGAGGAAATGCATGTCAAATATGCAAAAGACAACACCAACAATAAGGAATCTAAATCATCAGTAGTAATTCCATACAAGGTAGGAACCTCGGAAACCACCTTATTCCGGACAGAAATAAAAGTGACTGAAATTCACACCAACCACAAACTGAATTAGAAACAAGCTTCATCAGTTAAAGGATCGATCCTTTGGAACCTTTAAAACAATATGATTCAGTTTATCTAATACCCTGCCCGCGATGATTGTCAGGTCAAATACATAGGTCAAACGAGTAGAACAGGGTCAGTGAGTCAGACTAGCAGCGAAATCTAGATTGGTTGACCCGGCCGAATAAGATAAGAAATCTAGAGAATAGTTCAGCCGTAGGTAGCACTCACTACATGCAGTTACACACAACCCTACAATAGGCTGGATGGGATAAGATGACAGTTTTAAAATTTATTGTCACAGGGTGTAGGGAGAGAGAGATTGATAACAGAAGCATTGTTTTTCGAATCAACTGCAAATACATGTAATAGGAATGATTCATCACCTGTCCCTGATATCTATAAAATTCTACTATCCCAACGACGACAAAGAAAGCTATAAAACTCAAGTTTCGAAGTCGTGTGATTATAATTGATGAAAAGATTATGAACAGCAATAAGTGAACTGTGTTCTAAACTGTGTCATCCAGTAAATACTAATACTGTTTCATTCACTGACTGTGTGATACACCTAATACGCAAATGCAATCATATGAAGTCTGCTGACAGTACAGTCATTCTTTCTCTGTCTCTCTCTCTCCTCTACAAGTTCGCGTGTAAGACAACCTGCAGTGAAACTAAAGTGCTTATACACCCGGAATGCAATGGATGTAAACAACTCTCAAAAAGCTTTCCAACTGAAGCTTTGTCATCGCAATCATCATCGTTTTGCACACAGCAAGTCCTTATGGGTAAATTTTGTTTCGATAAAGTCTCACAATGTTACACAGTAATGTTTACTGATGACAAAGTTTCGAGCACAATTTATTGCCACTCATAATCATATCAAGGCACTACTCACACGACTTCCTAACTTCTCTTACATAGTTCCATTATTTTTTACTTGATTTGATTGGTAGTAATATTTTCCATATTTCGGGTATGAGTGATGAATCATTCCTATTGCCTGTGTTTGGTGTAGACTCGATGAACCAGGCAGGGTTCAGTTATCAACCTCTCCCTGTCTCCACCTACATAGATTACTTTTTAGCATTTTAACCCTCTCCCACCCTTTTGTGTGGTTGTGTGTTGATGCATGCATTACAATTGCTGCATTGACTGTGAGGTCAACTACATAGGTCAAACCAGTAGGTCAGGGGTAGTCAGATTGTCAGAACATAAGAATTAAGCTAAGGTAAGAATGGTTGGTTCGTTCCCGGGTTCCCGCAATGTGTACACCTTCGCGGGTCGGTGCCACGGCACCTAAGACGCTTGCCGACCATTGACATGGTCCAGATTCGATTCCTGACCGACGCATTCCTTTGCGTCAGTGTCATAGCGGTTAGGATGTTCGCCGACCATCCACAT